TGCATCTCACAGAATATCTTCCTTTAAGACACTTAAGTCAAAAAGAGAAGAGGAGTTGAAAAAGCAATGCTTATCCTGAAGCTGTTCTGAACCAGGAGGTACTATTGGGCACCATATGCATACCTATATGTTCTGAACTGACGATACAACAACCATATCACGAGACAAGCATGATTCTTTCCCATGTTACAGAAGCTGAAGCCCAAAGGTGCTCCACTAGCAGGTGGTAGAGGAAAGAGTTACACTTGGAGTTAAGTGATACCACTGTCCATCATTTACTTAGGGAGGTGTACAAATATGCAGATAACCAAAATGCAAGGCCCAGTAGGGTCAGTGCTATCTGAGAGTTGGAGGTGGGATCATAGAGGAGGTAGCATTTGGCATACATTGGATGGTGTGTAGGATGCACGAATAGAGATGGTAGGAGGAAGGGATAGAAATGGAGCAAGCATGGGCACACACATAAAGGCAGAGCTGTGTGATCTGTTTGGCAGAGGGTGAGGGCTGGTTGGTACTGAGAAGAGCATCTATTCTTGAGGTAGTCATGGTGTAATATGGAGTTAGAATTAAAAGAATCCATTTCTACTTTTCTCAAGTAAATGACTTTGGGCAAGTCACTTAACATTTCCTGTCTTTAGATTCCTTACCCATAGAGAGAGAAGAGAGTTCAGTCTTCACAAGATTGCTGTTAGTATTAAATTATATATATATGAGATTTGTAAGTTCTTCAAAGGTTATTTATTGGTTTATTTACTTGAAAGGCAGAGTGACAGAGAAGAGAAAGATCTCTCTGCTGTTCACTCCCCAGATGGCTGCAATAGCCAGGTCTGGACCAGGCCAAAGCCAGCAGCCCCATCAGGGTGTCTGACCTGGGTGACAAGGGCCCAAGCACTTGGACCATCTTTGTAGGTCTTACCAGTGCATTATCAAGGAGCTGGATCAGAAGTGGAATAGCTGGGACTTGAACCAATTGTCTGATACGGCATACAAATGACAGTGGCCCCTGAACTTTCTAACTTCTAAAACACCAATCTAAACCTTTCACTCCCAGGGGAAATGTACTAATATAGTCAGAGTCTGCATTGTTCTACTTGTTCTTGTTTTTAGTCATTGCTAATTTGGTAAGAAGCAGAGATCCACAGGCTGGGGAAAGATACAATCAGAGTGGCATCTAGCAACTGGCATTATATCTGAATGAAACAGAAAAGGGGATGAGGCTGAAGCAGAGGGGCCAGTTAGAAGATTTTTGTGATGGCTGAAGCAAGGAGTGATATAGGGTAAAGGCAGAAATGGAAGAACAGATGATGGAAGAAGCACCGATACAGGAAAGTTGGCCAGTCTTGGCATCTGAGTGAACATGTAAGACAATAGAAAAGGAAAGCAATGATGGAATCAAATCTGGGTATTGGAGAGAATGGGTGTTGTTAAGTGAGAGAGAAGGCAGATGACTGTTTAGACTGCATCTGAGTCCAGGTTGGAGAAAACCATAGCAGCCAAGGTTTGTAGCAGAAGGAAGCACCAAGAGAGAGGCAGTGGATGGAAACCCAGTAGGAACAGTTTCATCCTGAGGGAGGAGGTAGAAAATATTCTTGCAGAGGAAAAAGCAGGCAGACACTGGGGACATGCAGCATGTAGGGCCACGAATGCCAAGAAGGAGAGTTCACTGGCCGGGTCGCAAACAATGTTGACCATTGTGCTGAGGTGGATGAGGATGGAAGCTGAGAAGCGGTCATGGGTTTGCAGATTAGAGAGCCAGCGGTCAGCATTTCCAAGGGCAGCATGAGTAGTGGGTCAAAAAGCCACATCCCTGGAGGCTGGGTAGAAGGAGGAGAGAAGGCATTCACTTTTAGGGATAACAGAGTTAAAGAATTGTTATTTTTCTAGATGGAGAAGCAATGCCTATATTTGCTGGTCAGGGAGTAAAATCCTACAGAGAAAGAGGTTGTTGGCTTGGGTTGACCTTGGAGGAGAGTGGGGGCGGAAGAGAGGAGAAACAGGCTGTGAAGTACATTGAGAGCAGTGGTGGCCCAAGGGCTTGCAGTAGGGTTGAATCTCAGCACTCTGGGGATGGCGACAGAGCCAAAAGCGTGAGGAAGTTAGAAACAGATGCCATGAGGGACCGGCACTGTGGCGTAGCAGGTTAAAGCTCCAGCCCGCTGTACCAACATCCAATGTAGGTGCCAGTTTGCGTCCTGGCTGCTCCATTTCTGATCTAGCTCTCTGCTATGGTCTGGGAATAAGGTAGAAGATGACCCACGTCCTTGAGCCCCTATACCCACGTAGGAGACCTGGAAGAAGCTCTTGGCTCTTGGCTCTTGGCTCTTGGCTCTTGGCTTTCGGCTTTGGATCAGCCCAGCTCCAGCCATTGCAGCCATTTGGGGAGTGACCCAGCAGATGGAAGACCTCTCTCTCTCCCTCTGCCTCTTCCTCTCTTTAATTCTGCCTTTCAGATAAGTAAATTAATCCATCTTTAAAAAAAAGAAGAAGAAGAAACAGCTGCCCTGAAGAATGTGGGAGGGGACAACCTGGATGACAGACAGCCTCCCGTCCCCACCCAATTACATCCCATTCTGAAATGTGGGAAATTTTAGCAGCTTTCACACTTGAAGAAAGGCTTAAGAACACAACCATTTGCTCCACCCCGTGCACACCCACTTCCAGTTTTGTTTGCACCATGGCTTAGAATAGCTTTTACCCTCAAATTCTTCAGATGTTTCTTCGGCCATTTCACCAGCCAGGTTTTCCTGTGCCACACAGTAGGAGTGTGTTTGATCCCTCAGCCTATGGTATCCTTGCCATGGCTGTCTCAGCAAATGGCAGACCAGCTGGTCCCCTTCTTAGAAACCTGCCCCAGCACAGCACCCGACACCTCCGCAGCCACACACAGATGGACCTCAGATTTGATCCGGCCAGAGACCAGCTTCTGCTGTTCAGAAGAGTAAAGGGAGGCCGCAGAGGGAGAGGTGGAGCAGAGGGCTCTAATGAGACCCTGGAGGCCCTGAGGATTGAGGAAAGTGGCCTTGAGTGCTTCTCTGAGTCCCTCTGTGGCCGGGCTGGGCTGCCTGTCCTGGGTTCAGTGCGATTCTCCCTTGCCTAAGCTGAACAGGAGCTGTTCCTTGCTGCCCAGGGGCCCTTCACCCAGACTCAACCTTCCCATCTCACAGAGATGGAGGCCATCCATAGCCCCAGCCTGTCCTGGGGTCCCCAGCCTGCATTCTGCTTCCTGCCTGGCCCCTTATGAGAGCAGGGCCTCTCTCTGCCCTGTCACACTTAGATGCGCCGTTCTGTTCTCTGTGTTAGCAGAGTTCCTTGGCCCTCACACAGGGCATACTAACAGAGCAGCAGTGTTGTTTGCACTGCAGAACAGCAGAGAAAGCCTTTTGTTCCTGTCACTGAAGAAACTACAGAAGCAGTGCGTGTCGCCATGTAGCTGGGGATGGGGGAGAAGATGAGAAGAGAGAGGGCTGACTTTGACTTTCCATGTGGGAGGGCAGTGCGGCGAAGGAGCACAAAAAAAGCCAGCGGCACGCGTGGCCAAGTGGAGACAGGGTCAGGAGCAGCCTGCCGCCAGCAGGGCTCAGGGCACTGGTGGGCAAGAGTAAGACGTTGGTATTCTGTGCACTTGAAGGAAAAGAGCAGACTACCAGGATGGAGAAGTTAAAAGGTACACAGAGACTAGTGTGTCACTGTGGGTTTGTTTTAGGAGTAAAGAAAGGGCTTGGGTGGTCTGGAGCCCGAGTGATGGATGTGTCCAGTTAGTTTCCATGGAGGTACGGGCAATTCGGGCTCCCGTGACCTTGTTTTGCAGAGTGGAGAACCAGCCACTGGAGAAGTCTGGTCAGTGGTTTTTAATGGGTGGATGGGGCCCACCATGGCTCTGTCCCTGAGACTGCCAGCCCCAGTCAGGAGTCTCTGCAGGCCTCTGGGCTTCCATGGCCTGTCCTTTAGGCTCATGGCCTTGGACTGGTTAATCCTCTGAGCTCTAAAACTCTTTAGAACTTCCAGCAAAACTTATCCCCACTCCCCACACAAGCTCTCTGATGTGAGATTGGAAGGAACGAGCAGCACAGGGCAGTGGTCCCAGCACAGCCACGGGCTGGGAAGACTGAGCCGCTGGCTGAGCACCGGAGGAGCAAGATCTGCCTCAGGCCTGGGGTAGGACACGCAGGTTTCATCCTCGTGCTGTTTTGGCCAGGTTTCTGTGAAAATCATGTAGCACCTTGACATCTTGTAACTGTCGCCACAGCACTAGGTTAAAAACAGATTCAGGTCTTTCAGTCAAAGCAACATCGGAGCCAAGTTAAGCAGCAAATGACGTCACAAGATAACTGCACAGAGCCTGTGACTAAACCCATCCTCCAGCACAGAGGAGTGGGGTCTCGGGAAGGAGCATCGTCTCGCACCCTTCCAGCCATCCCCCAGGAGCACCAGGGCCTCGCCTGTCACAAGCAGGAAGTGCCCCTGCAGAGGAGACTCCGCGTGGAGTGGCAGCTTCCCCATGGAGGGAGGGGGCACGCAAGTGGTGGGCTCCGCTGACAGTTCTTCCCCCAGGCTGCACATTTCGCTCCATTGCTCTGCCTCAGTTTGGGCCGCAGAGTTAGACCAGATTTTTACCAGGCAGATTAAGGATGGGCTTGTGGCCATATCAGAGAACAATTCAGGCATTGTTTGTGTAAAGAGATTAATTATCCTCTGCTTGTCTCATATTCGCGGACTTTCCCAAAATGTCACCCTGCTCCACGGGCAGACGCCAGGCAGCACTTGGAACATGCTTTTCTGTGAGAAACCTAAGGAACATCCCGTGTCAAAACAAACCTGACAATGGGCTATTATTTCTCTCCCCATAATAGCACGTTGTCACTTCTCCACGCCCTGCATGAATGAGGCATCTGGACGGGGCTGTGGGAAGGAGCAGGGTGGGGGAGGCCGGCCAAAACCTGGGAGAAACACTTCCTGAGAAGTTGCTGCCTGGGAGGTAACTCGGAGGTTGGTCCCTGCAGGTGCCCGGCCGCAGCCTCGCGCTCACTTCCAGAGAAGGGCCCTGAGATTGCCGGAGAACACCAGCTACAGCGACCTGACCGCCTTCCTCACGGCCGCCAGCTCCCCCTCGCAGGTGGACAGTTTCCCTTACTTGCGAGGATTAGACGGAAATGGAACAGGTAACCGGAGACGCTTCTCTGGAGGGGCTTCCGTGTTTGAACCTTTGTGCGTGGGTCTCAGGTACGGCTGCAGGTGCCGGCGCTGAACGGGAGACCGGTGCTGAAGCTGCAAGTTTAGCTATGTGGGATCTTGGTCGCTTCCCCCCAGTGCAGTTACGGAGCGGAGCCGGCTCCCCTGCAGCTCTGTGCCTTGGTCTCCTTGAGCTGTTTTGCTGTTTGCCTGTCGCCCTAGGTACCTTCTCCAGGCTCTGCTTTGGTGGACTGACTAGATTCGGTTCAGAAAACTTCTTGTAACTGAAATTGTTTAAAAAATTGTATGAGGTCAGAATGAGGGTTTTCCAGCCCCAGAACATGGGAGGGGGTGGTTGGTGGCAGAGATGCCGGGAGGGGCAGAGGCACTGTGCGCTGTTGGATGAGCAGGCACCACCCAGCCCCCACCCCTGCCCCCGGCACGTGGCACACTTTAGGCCCGGGCTCTCTACTGGCTGTGTTCACCCAGCTTCCCCTGGATCCCTTCCCTGTGGGTGCTCGCTCTCTCTGCCTTCAGCGCCGCCGGGCTTGGAAGTGGTTTTGAAATCCTCTTCCGGCAGATAGCTCTGAGTCAGCTCAGTCCTCGTCAGTATTCTGGCATGACACGTACAGCTGCAAGGTCAGAGGACCTTAAAGCTACCGGGCAGAAAGTGTCTGATGATTCCTTACGGGGGAGAGCCTGCGCATGCGTCGCTGCCACCCACATCCACCAACGCCGTTCTCCAGGGCGCTGCCGGCCGCCAGGCCAGGGTCCTGGTGGAGGAGAGGTGCGAAGGTTCTGGAGCCCTGAACCGTCTCCTTGTCCACCTCCCCTTGTTTGCCCCACACTTTGGACTAGTCACAGCATAAAATCGAAAGCCAGAGGCTGTTTTGTGTTAAGTCCTTCTCGGTGAGTGAATTCTCACATTTATCTTAGGGACACTCTCATTGAATTTTCACTTTATTTTCTAGGACTTTGTGTAAACTGATGATTCTGAGCAGGTTTTGAAACCTGAGACATCGGATGCACTTTATAGCACATGAATACGTTTCTAGTTGGAGCTTAGGGTGTGATTTCTCATCTACCTGCCTTCCCCCTGGGGTACCTGTGTTCAGAAATGTTTCTTCTCCCTTTCATTCTTATGCACTGACAACACAATTAATATCAGACATTTGCCAGCAGAAAGATGCCCACTAGGCACCTTCAGGAACCGTATCTGGGGAGAAATGTTGAGTTTTTCTTTCAATGTGCAGGCCTGAAAGAAAAGCATTGTTTCAGCGAACACGAAGACCAGTTCGAGACCATCCTAACCTCTCTCCAGTCTCCCTGACAGAGTCGAACGCAGTCAGAAAATCCTAACTCAGAGGGAACTGCCACGGTCCTCAAAGCTCATTCATTTTTCTGTTCCCCATTTGCAGTAGCTCATGAATAAATTATGAAATCTGAGAGATGGGGTGGAGGAGGCGCAGAGAGGAACATAGAGACACAGGACTATCGATCTTAGAGACGTTTGTTTTATTTTAAAAGTCTCCATTATTCCAGAGGGAAGAGAGAAGTCTTTAGCTCAGGACATTAAGCTTATTTTCCATTGAAATAGCAGATTGGTTGACCTAGAAAGGACCAGAACTTCTCTGAGCCTCTGTGGGGCCCCGCCACGGTGTGTGCACCTGCAGCCCGGGTATCCGGCACACATAGGTCATCAGCCAGGGGCCGCCCTCCAGCTTCTTGGCTCACTTTCTCTTCCACCCTACAGTTACCTCCTGTTTCATAAAATCTCTGAGAGGCTTCAGCTCAGAGGAAAGCCAGGAGCAGACCTATCTGTGGGATGACAGATGGAGACCAAAGGAACAGAGGCAGAACTTCGAGTGGGGGCTTCCTGGCAGGGTCCTTCGGGGCAGCTGTGTCTGGTTTAGAGGAGGCTTCAGCGTTGCCTGGACAAACACAGCTGTGCAGAGATGTTGCCACTTTCTATCCTGACCTCTCTTGTTCGTCTGTTGTGTGGCTTCCCAGCATTACAAAGGGGCACCCTGTTCACCTGCAGGCCAAAGCCATTGCTACCATCACACCGTCCCCTTGGAGACTGCCAGAGTACAGAACTGTTCAGTGGCATGCCCGGGGGAGGTGTAAAGAAATTATTCCCATTCAGTACCCCAGGAGGAGGGAGTGGAGGAGTCAGTCAGATGACTAAGGTGAACTCTTGCCTACAGTCCAAAACGTTCTTCCTGAAGCGCAGCCAAACAGAGCCCTGGTGTTGGCTTAGCAGCGCCTCCAATATTCCAGCTGACCAGTGGGAGGCCCAAAGTGATACAGCTGTCTGCTAGCTGGTCCATTTCTCCTTCCCCCTCCCATGCTGCTCTTGCTTGACACCTGTCTTCATTTACATAAAGGGAGCCAGGTAGCATCAAAGTGGAACAGGAAGGAAAGCCTTGTTTTAGAGAGAGCTCAGTATTTTGCATAGAATTGGGTTCTGTTCACAAATAGTGGAAGGAAAGTAGCCCTTCAAAGTGTGAATTATTGCAGAATGAAGAAATTGGGGGCTGGTATTGTGGCACAGCAGGTTAAGCCACAGCCTGTAATGCTGCATGCTATACGAGCACCATTCAAGTCCTGGCAGCTCCACTTCCAACCCAATTCCCTGCTAAGATGCCTGGGAAGGCAGTTGGAGATAGCCCAGTGCTTGGGCCCCTGCCACTCACATGGGAAACTGGGATGGAGTTCTTGGCTGTGGCTTTGGCCTCACCCAGCTCTAGCCATGGGCATCCATTTGGGGAATGAACTAGTAGATGGAGGATTCTCTCATTCTGTCTCCCCCCGCCCCCCTGGCTCTCACTCTTTCTCTCTCTCTCTTTTTTTTTTTTTTTTCGCCCGCTCGGCCAGGAGTGGCAATGGAGAGAGAAAAGGTCTTCCTTTGCCGTTGGTTCACCCTCCAATGGCCGCCGCGGCCAGCGCACCATGGCCAGCGCATCGCGCTGATCCAAAGCCAGGAGCCAGGTGCTTATCCTGGTCTCCCATGGGGTGCAGGGCCCAAGCACCTGGGCCATCCTCCACTGCACTCCCGGGCCACAGCAGAGAGCTGGCCTGGAAGAGGGGCAACCGGGAAAGAATCCAGAGCCCCAACCAGGACTAGAACCCGGTGTGCCGGCGCCACAAGGCAGAGGATTAGCCTATTGAGCCGCGGCACCGGCCCTTTCTTTTTAAGATTTATTTAATATTTTGTCTACTTGAAAGGCAGAGTTACAGAAATAGGAGGAGAGACAGATACAGAGATCTTCCATCCACTGGTTCACTCCCCAAATGGCTACAGCAGCTGGGGTTGGGCCAAAATGAAGCCAGGAGCCAGCAGCTTCTCCCTGATCCCCACATGGGTTTAGGGGCCCAAGCATGTGGGCCATCCTCCACTGTTTTCCCAGGTGCATTCATATTGAGCTGGATCAGAAGTGGAGCAGCCAGGACACGAACTGGTGCCTATGTGGGATGCAGGCAGGGGGCTCAACCTGCAATACCACAACACCGATCCCAAAGGTATCTCTGTCTCTCTCTCTCTCTCTCTAAGTCTGCCTTTCAAAAAAAATAAACCTTAAAAAAAAAAAGAAGAAGAAGAAGTTGAGGGTAGAGGGAGAGTCATTGGGAAGGCATAGAGTAGGAGCACTGAAGGAAGGAGGCCACCAGACGGCCGACACAGCTGCCCCCACTGCCTAAGGCACCTTTAAAGGAACATGAAATGACAGGGACCTAGTATGCGTTGCTTTCAGTTAATGTGCTCATTTCTGCAATGCTACACTTCTGAATGTTTACAACTGAGTATTTTTATTTCCACAGACTCAGAAAGGCATCTTGTCTACTTCATTTTCAAGATAAGAAAAGCAGATCCCAGAGAAATTAGCAACTTTCCAGGGACTATGTAGGCAGTCAGTGGCAGATCTGGCATGGAATCTGTTGTCCTGGGCCAGGAGTGTGCAGGATCAGAGCAAGGGAGAGCTGAAAAGTGATGTGAGAGGGGAAGGGAGATGGCATTCCTAGTGCTTTTCCATCTATCTGCTCACTGCCCCTATTCAGGCAGCTGGCTCAGAGTTTCATGAAAGAAAAACAGCACTCCCTAATGGGAAACACTGTGTCTAGGTTGTTTATGCAGAGTCTAGTGAGTTACTTCACGCATCTGTAGTTTTAAGTTTGATCTGATGGAAAGAATAGAACTTGGAGGGGTACCTTGTAGGTCAGGCTTTGCTCTGCATCACCTGTAAGTAGTTGGCACATTTATGTCTCAGTCCACAACAGATTTTGACAAATAGCATGCTAAATTCTGGATTTTTGTTTCCTTTACTCTAAAGTGAAAGGGTCAGACAAGAAGATTTCTGAACTTGAATCTGTGATTACATCTTAGACTGTTTGATGAAGTCTCCTTTCCCTGCCTTCACTGCTAAACAGAGATGGGGTAAACTCATTGCTGAAACTCCAGAATTCACTAGATTGGCCTTACGTGCTTGAATTTAGTCCAAACTGGAGGTTTGCATTTGCTCAGGCAGGCCAGATAGGTAAGTACAGAAGTAACCAAATAAGAAATCTTACACCTTGCATTCTGATGGACCTTGCAGTTTTCTTTATCACTGCTTTTTGTCTTTCTGTTCAAGAAAATATATAAAATTATGACAAACACATTTGTGTGATATCATATTTTACTAGAGAAAAATCTAAAAATGGGTTGCTTAAGTGTGTAAATAATACTCTCATAAGCGTTGTCTATTTTATCCATAAATAGACAGTCATTACAGGATTGGCTTCGATCAAAGACCTCTGATGGACAATAATTGGTGTATTAAATTCCTTTCAAACAGACCAAAACAGCAGTGGCAACTCAAGCAGCTTATAAATATTTCAAGTCCAAGTTTCCATAATAACTTTATAGCAGAAGTAAGTTAATAATTTGAAGTAATCCTTGAGGAAATCTACTGGGTTTTTTTTTTAAAGCAGTCTCTAAAACATTTGGTTTGATTGTGGTGGTCTGTAATTGCTATATGCTGCTGTGTAACGTATATTACAGGTTATGAACACAGGCCCGGGGCTCACTCTGTGTAGAAGTCATTCTCAGTGACTTCTGCATATGCACCTTCATTTCACATTATGGAAAAGCCCTTCCTTTTTGAGGCCCTTTTTGCAAGTACACACAGCAATTAGAATTGGCAAACCTGAACCTTGGATGTGAGCTCTACCACTCAGTAATGTGTGCCCAGCCAGCTGCCATCACCGCCCTCTCTGAGCCTGTGTCTTTGTGAGTCCAATGGGGACTCTCCCTGTCTCCTAAGGGTGTGGTGAGGATCATGCATGTCAAGTGCTTCCTCGGGCCCCTGGCCACGCGGAGGAGCAGTGCTCAGGAGGTGGTAGCCGTGACTGCTTTCTACAAAGGGTATCTGCAGCCCCACACAGTACTTGGCATGCGTGTGATGGAGAATGCCTCTTCCTTCTAGGAAACAGCACTAGGTATGACCTGACCCCGGTCACGGCCGTCAGCGTCCACCTGCTCAGCAGTAATGGAACGCCGGTGCTGGTGGATGGGCCCATCTATGTCACCGTGCCCCTGGCCACACAGAGCAGTCTGAGGCACAATGCCTATGTTGCAGCGTGGCGGTTTGACCAGAAGCTGGGTAAGCAAGAGCTCTGAGCTGACGCTGGGCTCTCGATGACTTCACTGCTGTTCGGTTTTCCTTCTAAGAAGCCTGTGGAAGTCTCTTCCTCGCAGCTGGTGAATGCTGCTGCTCACGGTGCGCTGTGTGGTTTCTCGTTGGGTAGAGCGCACCCTGCCATACCATTCACGCACTCCATTTCGAGTTCATTTTTGTTTTTGCTTGTTTGTTGTACATGTATGCTAATTTATTATAAAAGAATATTTTTTTTTAAACTTTTATTTAATGCATATAATTTTCCAAAGTACGACTTATGGATTACAATGGCTTCCCCCCCATACCGTCCCTCCCACCCACAACCCTCCCCTTTCCCACTCCCTCTCCCCTTCCATTCACATCATGATTCATTTTCGATTATCTTAATATACAGAAGATCAGCTTAGTATACATTAAGTATGGATTTCAACAGTTTGCTCCCACACAGAAACATAAAGTGAAAAATAATAGATGATTTTTTTAAATGATGATGAAATCAGAGCAGACCTATTGTCATGTTTAATCCCAGTGAGAGTCAAGTTGGGAATTGATAATTTCTTTTTTTTTTTTCTTTTTTTTTTTTTTTACAGAGGATCAGTTTAGTATGCATTAAGTAAGGATTTCAACAGTTTGCACCCCCATAGAAACACAAAGTGAAATATATTGTTTGAGTACTCGTTATAGCATTAAATCTCAATGTACAGCACATTAAGGATAGAGATCCTACATGAGGAGTAAGTGCACAGTGACTCCTGTTGTTGACTTTACCAATTGACACTCCTGTCTATGGCATCAGTAATCTCCCTATGCTCCAGTCATGAGTTTCCAAGGCTATGGAAGCCCTCTGAGTTCTCCGACTCTTATCTTGTTTAGACAAGCTCATAGTCAAAGTGGAGGTTCTCTCCTCCCTTCAGAGAAAGGTACCTCCTTCTTTGATGACCTGTTCTTTCCACTGGGATCTCACTCGCAGAGATCTTTTGCCAGCGTGTCTTGGCTTTCCATGCCTGAAATACTCTCATGAGCTTTTCAGCCAGCTCCGAATGCCTTTAGGGCTGATTCTGAGGCCAGAGTGCTATTTAGGACATCTGCCATTCTATGAGTCTGCTGAGTATCTCACTTCCCATGTTGGATCACTCTCCCCTTTATTTTCTCCATCGGTTAGCGTTAGCAGGTACTAGACTTGTCTATGTGTTCCCTTTGACTCCCAGTCCCTTCACCATTATATTATAAAAGAATATTAAAAAACTTTGAGAACAGGGGAGAGAGAGCGCTCCCATTCACTCCCCAGATACCTGCAACTCTTGGAGCTGGACTGGGCCAAACCCAGGAACTAGAAACACAACCCAGGTTTCCCACAGGAAGCTGGAGTCAGGAGCCAGAGCTGGGGATCAGCCCAGGTTCTCCAGTATGGGACACAGGCATCTCAACTGACACTGGGCTGAGTGCACACCTCGAAGAGAATTGTAGAGTATTAGAACTCGCCTCATCTCCATCCTATTCTTCAGAAGCTCATATGATCTCTCTTGGTCATCTGTGTTTATTTTTCCATTTTTCAAAAAAGGAAAAATATTTGCCAACATTGCAGAAAACAAAGTAAAAATTACTCAGAATCCTACCCACCTAGAGAAAGGCACTCATATGTTGAATTCTATCCTTTCAATCATTTTACTGTGCACATGTGTGTTAGTTATCAGTTGTTGAATAAAAATTACCCTAAAATTTAACAATTAAAACAGTGACTATCTGCTCTGTTGGTTTCTGGGGTCACGAATCCAGGCCCAGATGAGCTGCCCACCAGGCTCTCAAGTGAGGTTCCTGTGCTGCCAGCGAGCGTACTTCAGACCCACTCACGCTGCTGGAGGCAGGGGCTTCAGTCCTTGCCACACCAGCCTCTCGTTGGAGCTGTGTACACCACGGCAGCTTGCTCGTGCCCTCAGCAGGTGATCCAAGAGAAAATTAAAAGCTTAAAAGCACAGGTACTCAGAGCGGAAGCCGTCTCAGAGGTTGCCCCCCACAAAGCATATAAGAGCACCTTGAAAGGTTCTCGGAGGGCTGGGTGTTTGACTTAGCAATGAATTTGCCCATGTGCCACACTGGAGTGTCTGAGTCTGACGCCCAGCTCTGGCTCCTAACTGCAGACTTCTGATCATGCTGAGCCTAGGGGGCAGTGCTGATGGCTCAAGTTGATTGAATTTCTGCCACCCACATAGGGGACCTGTACCGGGTCACTGGCTCCTGGTTTCTGCCCCAGCCCACCCTTGGCCTCTGCAGGTATTTGGAGAGTGAAGCAGCAGATAGGAGTGTTCTCGCTCTGTGTTTGCCTCTCTGCCTTTCAAATATATAAACTTAAAAAAAAAATTTTAAGTTCATGGGAAATGAAATTTAATAGGCAAAGTTTTTTTCATAATACACATTTTCAGTGAAATTTTTAGAGATTGTCATATGGATTTCAACACTTTTTGCAGAAAAATGAACTTATTTTCAAATTTATATATTTTCCAAGAACTCTTTTGAAATGCCCTCATTTTTAACAAAAATGGGATTATATGCTAGGTAATGTTCTACAACTTCTAAAAATAATCAGTATAGCATGAACATCTTTCCACAGTATTAATTATTATTCTGCAATATCAAACTTAATGAGTACCTGGTATTTCACTATATGAATATATCACAACAGCCCACCAGTCCCTTACAATTAGGGAAGAAAAGGTCACTAGTACTGTGAAAAATCTTTGTAGCTAAGTCTTTGTATACAGCCATGAATAATTCCTAAGGGCGTTCCCACATTGCCCTTGGCTGCCTGTTCCATGAGTGTCCAGCTGAGAAATACCAGTTTTCAAATAGCTCAGTTTAGAATTTAAAACTGTTAGACCATGCATGAAGATAAATGGGAGGTTTTTTTTTTAAATATCAAATATATTTTCACAGTTACCTAATTCCTTAAGACAATCAAAAGATAGTTCTAGGGATTATGTTTGAGAATAAATGGGCTTTTTGGGGATGCATTGTTTTGTTTTCCTTTTGAAATCATTAATTTCAGACTCTATAATTATTTCTGTGGATTGCATTGATTTTTGCCCAATTAAATTTGACATTGTTAGGTGGGCCGTGATGCCCTGTCAGCATTTCCTGCTGAGGAGGAAGGGCAGTGTATTGCCGGGGTGTGTTCTCTATGACTTAATAATCTGAGCGGGAAGCAACCAGAGGGGTGTGTGACTGACAGCCTCCGAGATCACAGGTGACAGGGGCAAAGGAATGGGTGCTGAAGAATGCAGAGAAAGTAGGAAGGAGAATGGAAAGAGCTTGCATTTTGTTTCTTAAAATCCTGGGTCCTGCTACCTGTAGAACATTGAGTCCTGTCGTGTTTTCCCATCTGTAAGAGACATGCAAATGGTTGGAGACTCTCTCCCCAACCTCGTATATTCTGCCTTGGTCCTTTAGCTCTTCGTCAGGGTCCCCAACACACTCAGGCCCACCTTCTGGGGCACAGGAAATCTGGGGGTACAGAAAATTGGAACTCCAGCTCTGCCACCCCCTGGCCATGTGGCCCTGGCCACATTTCCTCTTCTGTCTGTGCCACAGTTTCCTTAACTGTGAAATGGGGTGATGACAGCATCAGCTATTATTCTGAGGAACGGGTTGGAGTTTTCCAGAGAAGCAGAACCAACAGGAAGTGTATACACCCCTCTGTATATATGAATAGGAGCTTTATGTGCTGGGATAGGTTGATGTTTAGACCCACACAGTTCTAAGGAGTTGGCTCACATGGTTACAGAGGCTGGCAGGTCACAGCTGCGGAGTGGGCCAGCAAGCCAGAGATCGAGAGAAAAACCAGTGCAGCAGGCCAAGCCCAGAGGTTATGTGTGGGCAGGATTTCCTCCTCCTCAGGAGACCTCCATCTTTTTCTTAAGGCCTTCAACCCATCAGGGGAGTCCCACCCACATTATAAAGAATGTTCTGTTTTACTCAGAGTCTGTAGGAATAAATGTTAGTCTTATCTAAAAATACCTTCCCAGCAACATCTAGACAGAATATCTGGGAACTATTACCTAGCCAAGCAGATGCATAAAATTAATGATCACAGGTGCAAATGAATTCGTATTTGTAAGATACTTGTTCCCATGCCTGGTCCATAGCAAGTGCATCCTAAGGAGGTATGGAGTGAGAAAACAGTTCTGTACATGACTTTCCCTGATCAGGCCACTGAAACCAGCCTCCCAGATTCCCCACAGCCCAGGTCACTTGCCTTTGTTCCCTGTGCTCCACATCCACCTCTCAGTCCACTGTCTCCTTCTGTAGTCTCCCCAGTTTCCTGAAAGGGCATCGTCCTCTTTGATCAACACCTCTGCAACATTTGATGGTCCCTGTTCCTGTGCCTGCCCCATCCCGGGCCATCTTTCCTGTCCACCCCTGGCTCTGCCCTGTGTCCAGCTCTTAAGTTACTCTGTGTGCCATCCCTGAGGCATCTAACCCCTCCCTGCACTTCCAGGCCACCAGTGTTTCTGATCATCTCTCAGACCCCATTTCTAGATGTCCTGTCGGAAACTCAGATTCAACATGCTGAAAACCGAGACTGCCCTTGATACCCACTGCTCATTTCTGTGCCTCCATTCTTAGTAAGAGCATTGTCTGTCTACCAGACCAGGGACCTCAGAGCTACCCCCAGCTCATTCTTTTACTTCCCTGCCAGGTATGGTACTTTGGAAAGTCGTGTCGATGCCAAATCAGTGTTTCTCACATTTCCCTATCCCCTCTTCCTCTGGGCTGCCACTGCCTCAGCCAGGTACCTTCCCTCTCCTCACTTGCATGGACTGTCCGACTGCCTTCCACTTCCCTTCCCTCCACAGGATTTTTGGTATCACTATGTTTTGTAGAGCAGTCCTCTAGTTATTTTACAATTTGCAAAGGAAAATAATTTTAATTAATTTATGTATTTACATAAAGGAAACAGATTTCATGTATATCATATATGCAGTTTTAAG